GCGGCGGGCGGGCGGGAAGGGTCACGTCTCTGCTTGCAGTGCGCGGCGCGGATCCCGGAGGCCGGAGCGGTCCTCGACCTGCTGGAGCAATGTCCCGAGCACCAGAGGAAGGGAAGTTTCCCCGTCGTCGTTTTCGAGGGGCTGGATGCCACAGGTAAGGGCAGTGCATGGTTGGAGAGCCGCAGGCGAGAAGCGGTTGGGAAGAGCAACCGGGAACGGGTCTCAGGCAGGCGGTAAGGCTTACGGATTCAAAGCTTCCTGGAAAAGTGTGGCGGGTCTGCAAGAATTAGGAATACCAGCCTGTCTTCTCTTACTTGTAAAAGACCAAACAGTCCATGCTAATTTTCGTTCAGTGGGACGTTCGGTTTCGTTCCGTAAATGAAAGACTACAAAGAGCGGAGTGCTGGAAATTAAATTTCTCGTGCAGATGATGAAACACGCTTTTACCGGAGAGCCTTCAAATAAACGAACTAGAGTAGTGGTAGTCTGGGAAACTGGCAGCAGTTTGTCTCAGAGAGAAATATTAGTTGCCTCCAAATAACTTTGTTTTCTGACTTTTCAGTTAAAGCCAATTGAAAATCCCCTCTAAAAAGAAAGGATTGGGTGACAGCGTGGCAACATCCACATGAACTGTGACCTAGAAAAACGTTGTAAATGGATATATAGAGAAATCGCCATGCATTTAAGGAGTGAAGACTGAAAGCTGGCAAGAGGGAGGGGTGGAAGGCCCTGAGAGTAGGAAGTGGAGTAACAATTCCTGCAACCAGGCTCGTAATCATTTCCCACTGAAAACCTTATCACGACACGCTCAGGTCACATAGTCATATGTCAGAACATGGGCTCCAAGTGAACAGATAGGAGCATTTTTCAGTTTTTAAAACTCAGTTTTATCTGACATGTAATATAACAAATGTTTCCTTCTGTAAATGAAATGCAGGCAAAACCACTGTAACCCAGTCTGTTAAGGACACCCTGAATGGCATTCTGCTAAGGTCCCCACCAGCTTGCATCAGCCAGTGGAGGACAATATTTGATGATGAGCCAGCACCCATTAAGAGAGCATTTTATGCTGCGGGCAACTACATTCTTGCTTCAGAAATAGCGAAAGCATCCACTCAGGCACCTGTGATCATTGACAGGTTTGTATATTTAAGAATTCCTCTTATATCAGTGCTGTCATACAGTTGTTCAGTGTTACAAGCAGAAGTTGTCAATGATAGTCTCTGGGTTTCTTCTTTTTTCTTTATTTTTTAAGTGCTACCTTGCAGATAGTCAGATGAATGTTAAATCAATATTAAATCTTTTAAAGAATAATACGTATGATAACAATAAGATGAGGGACTTCCACCAGTGTAATACTCATAACTGGCTTTAGGACACGTGAAAAGTGTTACATCTTCAGTGAGAAATATTGGAGGCATGGACTGTGCAGCCTGAGCCAAACCAGGGATCTGTGACAAACCTGAGGAGAACAAGGGCTGCTGATCATGGCTATCGCTAAGATGCATCTGAGATACGGGTGGATTAGAATGACCAAGTTTTAGGCAGACTTACTCTTTGAAGATGGAAAACCAGAAATATGCATCCCACTTTTGGGGGTTTGTTTATGTCACTTCTTGTTTTGACTAACTGTGTAGGCAGCTTTCAGTATTACTCTTAAGAAAGAAAGTCTAGATGCACTTTGAAACCCCTGGCTTGTTTCAGAAGATGTACTGTAGTCTCCCCCCACAACACACATATGCAGAAGTTGTTTGCATGGGTGGGAGTGCTATTTTTAACCAGCCGCAAAACTACTGAAATCTATAAAATACAGTGCCTCATAGTGGTGGGACCATTAAATGCAAGTGAAATGCGTAACCATTAATGAGCTCTGTCTTCATTCCCTTGAGGTTGAAGACTGCATGTTCTCTACCAAATCTGTTGCATGTAGTAGGATGGGAACCACAGAAAGGGGACTCAGAGTACTGGGTTTTGACATATAATGTAACTCTTCTTTTGACCTCACTCATTATATGAGAAGACCTTCTCTTGATAGGAGTATCTGGAACACTCTTTGCATAATGTGTAGCTTCTACCGTATGTCTTAATTAATAATTCACAGCAGTTCTGAATATTGCATTGAGTATTATCACTCTGTTAAGAAATAATGGATGGCACAGAACTATTCTTTACATTTCCCTTCAAAATCAGTGTCACCTACCTCATCATTATTGCACTTGTCATTACAGTGACACCTGTCTTCTATATTACTGAAGAATTAGTGTCCTCTTTAAAATTTCTCTCTCCGTTCTGTATTTTCCTGACAGATACTGGCACAGCACAGCTGCCTACGCAATTGCCACTGAAGTAGATGGGAAAGTCCAGGATCTTCCACCAGCTCACGATGAGGTGTACCAGTGGCCCGAGGATCTGCTTAAACCCGATCTTGTTCTTCTCCTTACTGTTGACCCTGAGGAGCGAGTCCAAAGACTTCAGCGTCGGGGGCTGGAGAAGACAAAGGAGGAAGCTGAGCTGGAAGCTAACACCTTGTTTCGCCAAAGGTACACTTTTTTTGTGGAATAAGAGGATGGAGGCAATCTTGGCTCCTGTGGGATCAGTAGCAAATGTCCCACTCACATTACTGGGACAAGGAATTCCTATGTCTAAGCTTTTGGGTTGGGTTGTTTTTGGAAAGGATTAATGGCTGACAAGGTAAATTCTGTCACTTCTCATTGAAAGTGTTTGCAGGTGAAGAACTTCATTCTCCTGCGAAGGAGCTTCGAGTTAAACTACTTGTATCTTGCTACTTGCTGCTTTTATTGTAGTACCTTTCTTACTGAGATCACGAAGGAGAGAAACCTAAAAATTCCAGACCTAGGAGGCAAGAAGTTGAAACACATAGGTTCTCCAGAAAAGTCTGGAATTGATCTCCAGATGAACAGAATAAAATTTAGATCTCCTCTTGTAGATGTCTTTAGTTGTGCTAAGTGTCTCAGGTGCCAATATAGTCAATACCTTCAATGGAGCCTTTGAAGTGATTCAGTTCACCACCTGCTTGTTGCTCAGTGATCTAAGCATAAGTATCTAGAGCCATCTGATACTATCTGAGACATCTGCATGAGGCTGGCAGATGTGATGAAGAACCTGTGGACACTTTCTGGACGAGCAACTGGAAGCTAAATGAGATGGTCCAGAGCATCTCAAACAGTACTAGATATATTTGCTTAAGCAACTGAATTGCACCCTAGCTATCCTACTTCAGGGTGTGCTGAATTGCTGTCTAGGCTCTGCCAAATGTATTGATCAGATCACCATCATCTACGGTGGACACTTAAATACCTAGTGCTTGTGTAGATACCTCAGTCTAGACACCTGAATGTTTGGTGTCTGTATCTACAAACGCAAAGCTGAAATCTACCTCTAGGGTTTTAACATTTCTGGTGATGATATACCTTAAAAATATCCATTGCTTAATTCTGACAGAAACTCTGTGCGAACACATGGTTCATATAGTGGGACCTGCAGAGGGGTGGGTGAGCTAGGGAACATGCTGCCATTTAAGAATCTTTCGTGTTCTCATTCTGTTACTTCTTCGTCCTGTCAGAAAGCCTTTGGTTATTTCCACTTATTAATTATGTCAACCTGGATGTGAGAACATTCAGAATCTTGCTCGATTCCTCTCATGACTTGTGGCCCGAATGTTTGGCATTATTAACTGTGGGACCGTAGAAAATGATATTCACATCCTCACAGGCTAAATGTGGGAGAGCTCTGCATTATGAGAAGGCTTATAGTCTAAGCGAGGAGTTTTTCCTCCTGTATTTCATCCCAGTTTTCATCTGGTTAGCAAAGTTGATCAGAGGAAAGGGTTGAACGATGTGTCAATTCTGTAATCCAGTCAGTGAGCATACCTACACAATGCCATGCCATATAGTTCAGGGACACCTTAGCAGGCTCCAAATAACTTAATTCAGGTGTTAGAAGCAGGCTGTCCACTGTACTGCTATACCAGATGTTACCCAGTGCCAAGTTGTAAAGAAAGAAATACTTTAATGCCATGCCATGTGAATATGGATAGAGCTCTGGGAAGCCGTGTCAAGGAAACTGCATTCTGAGGCTCGCATTGTAATAGTTACTAGTGGTTTATTGCTCTTTGCAGTAGATTTAATTCTTAACTTCATATTAGATTTTTTTTCCTTTGTATCTGTAGTGTGAACACTTTCTTCTGAGACTGATGACTAATGCCATTTCATATCCCTGCAATTTGAAGTTTCATTTCTCTTGTTTTGTTTTTAAACAGGGTTGAAGAGTCATACAGGAGGATGGTGAATCCTGCATGCCAAGTGGTTGATGCCAGCCCCTCCAAGGAAGAGGTTCTCCAGACAGTGCTACAACTAATTAAGAAACACAGTGCTTTGTGAAAGCAACTTCTGTGTAACAGCACTTCAAAGATACTTTTTAGTGCACTTAAAAGACACTCTTTATTGCCCCTCTGGGTTTGGTACCTGAAAATGCACTGTGATGGGTTTTGTCCCACAGGAGAATCTTCTCTTTCTTCTGTCAACAGTTACCTGTGCAGGTTATCTGTTTCACTGCTGCCTACTGTTCTTTTCTATGTAAAGCAAAATACTACTCACATTATTCAGCATTCTTAGTAAAGCCACAAACATACCATGGTCTATTGGGTCTGGCTGAGACAGAGCTGATTTTCCCCGTAGGAGCCCTCCCAGTGCTGTGCTTTGCATTGGTACCTAGAAAGGTGTCGGTAACACCCCAGTGCTCTGGCTACTGTTGAGCAGCGCTCGCACAGCATCAAGGCTGTCTCTCCAACATTCCCCCTCACCAGTAGTCTGGGGGGTGGGCAAGATCCTGGGAGGGGACACAGCCGGGACAGCTGACCCAAACTGACCAAAGGGATGTTCCATACCATATGATGTCTGCTCAGCAATAAAAGCTAAGAGAAAGGAGGAGGAAGGAGGGGCATTCATTACTTACATTGGTCTTCTGGAACAACCGCTACGAGTACTGAAGTCCCGCTTCCCGAGAAGTTGCCAGACATTGCCTGCTGATGGGAAGTAGAGAATAAAATCTTTTGTTTTCCTTTGCTTTCGCATGTGACTTTTGCTTTTGCTTTATTAAACTGTCCTTATCTTGACCCACAAGCCTTTCATTATATTTCCTCTCCCCTGTCCAGCTGAGGAGGAGGAGTGATAGAGGAGCTTTGGTGGGCATCTGGCATCCAGCCAGGCTCAACCCACCACATACGGTCATGTACGAGGTACCTCAGAGTGCTCTCTGACACTATGACATTTCAAGATGCTATCGTGTTGCACCTTCATCACCAGGAGAACCTGTTCCTGCATCCATTGTGTACCAGAATTCACTGGACTGCAGCAGGAGCATGAGATGCCCAAGGAGAGGCTGGAATGTCATCCAGCAGTAAAACAATAAAATGGTCCTAACATTTAGGCACAGGCAATCCAGTGGCCCAGTGTTGCTGGAATAGAGGATGAGCAGCTGCTGCTGTGATTGGCATCCTGGGACAAATGTGTCATAAGTGAGGGCCAGTAAGCACCTAGGCCACTAAGTAATCAAGTCCAAGCCTGTCAGCATATGCAACTGAAATATCAATTCATTTCAGAGGGAAACAGAATGCTGGCCTATTAGAAACAGAGACCTGAGAAGAACCTGAAATTAAAAACATTTTACAAATGATTGCTAAAATATTTTTCTACAAAACGTTTTCTCTATCCTATTAGTCTTTGTTAATGTGAATTTGTGTTCTTCTGAGAGAATATGAAATGGGAAACTGCAGAGAATCTGGGCAATGGGAACGATTGTACCTTTTCCCTTCACCTTTTCTTGTTTTTGCACGTTGAATGTGGAAGCAGGCTACCATCGAGTTTTCAGCTCTGCAAAGGCTTATTTTTATGTACATTAGTTTCACTGTTGTTACTCCTAAGTGTAAAACTAAACATATGAATAAGCCTTCGTGGGGTCAGAAATGGCCTGCAGATCCGGAAGGAACATAACTGAAAGGTAAATTTGATTTAAAACACTGTTTTTACTTCCTTTCCTGTGTTAAGCAAGTGCAATTATCAATCAATCTGTCCTGTAAACAAAAATGTTCTCAGTGCTGCAGTTCCTATATACAATCTGTATATGCAAGGTGATAGAAAGGAAAACTTCAAAAATACATTTTATTCGTGCACTGTTTAATGTTTGTGAGTATATGCTATTAATATCACACCTTTATACATACTAGTAATATATGCTGTTGTATTTGGTGTATTATTTGTATAACAGTAGCCTTGGGATTTGCCGTACATGCAGACTGAAAATACATAGTTGTAGGTGCTCCACTTTAGAAATTATGAAGCATTCAGGTATTCAGTCCTGGATATAGGAAGTTCACATATGAAGGGCATCACTGCAATGGATGTTTAGGGTACAAATAGTGTGCCTGCCCTGAACATTGCGTAGCCTTAGCTTTTCTGGGTAAGAGATCACATGGCCTGAGAAACACCACATGCAAACTTGCACATGAAGCCAGACTGCTTGGGTTCTGATGCTGAGTTCTTAAAAGTGTAGGTTTGTATTTAAAAGAGTGCTGATAATATATATGCGAGTGGCGTCAGACACTATTAATTACACACATGCAGTGCATATTCATAGTCCACGTTTGTCTTTAACCCAAAGCTCCTTAGGCAGACTAACAGAACAGCAGAGCAAGATAGACCAAACCCACATTCCCTTTCTCATGTCTTTGTTAGAATTAAAGGTCTGCAAGAGGTGGTGTGCCACATGCAGTATGTTAATGTGCATAATCACTCCCATACTTCCCATTTCTGTGGCATTTCTGCCACATTTTTGTCCACAGTGTCTAAAAAGACTGCACTGTTACTTTAATTTACATTTATAACAACTGTAGAGGTTTGTCACTGGCTGCTGAAACGCAGGCAGGTCTGAGAGAGGAGCAGCAGGAATACACAAATGCCGGCCATCGCGCACCCAGCAAGAGCATCATCTGCTTCGTGTGTCAGAAACTGTTTTGCTGGGCTGTTTGATGGCCACAAGAGGTCAGGATTTTGGTTTCAGCGCCTAACAGACCTGAAGCTCCGACTATTTCCATGCAGATTCAGAAAGTTAGGCTATTTCTTGGTAGATAAAGCTGGTTTTTTTGCAGCTTTGGAGTGTGATCGTTGTGTAAGAGTGGGAGGTTAGCCTGTGACACAGGGCTGGCCTGTGGCCATCAGCTTCTGCCACACTGTGCCAAGTGTGGTCAGCCCCTGGAGCATCCCTGCTCACCCGCAGCCAGCTCATTGTGGAGGCCTGGCGTTAGCTAGCACAGACGAAGGCTGCTCTCTGTCAGTCATCCTCAGGGCAGAGGACATGCCAAAGCCTGTTTCTTTTATTACTCTCCCAGGAAATTCAGTAATTTGAGAATTTACTGATTTACTAGTACAGATCTAGCTTTAGGACATGATCCTGCAAAGGTCCTGATACTACAGTCCTCAGAGCATCTGGGGTGTTAGACCAGTAAGGTACACACAGAGGGACTTAATTTCAAGCTTCTCAGTAGTTCTGTTAAAGTCAGTGAATGCAGCCTTTACTGAACAATAAATGTTATTTATAAATCTCAAGTGTTTCTTGAAGTACAAAACAATACTTTTTTTGGCCCAAATTAAGCTTTGTGTACTTTTTAGTTATTAAAAATGCCTCCAAGAGTTTTAGATGAGAGAATTTTGCAAGAAATTTTATTTTATTTTATAGAATTCACCATAGTATTTCAAGCTCCTTTTTTTCTGAATTTTAATCTCATTTGCTTCCATTTTTTTAGTCTAGAGGGGAATAGATACTTAAATAAAACGGTATTCAGTTGCCTAAACATAGACATCCACAGACAGTTAGTCTCCCTAAGGTATCTGAGATGTCTGCGTGGGGCTGCCAGATATGACACGAGACATTTGGTTGAGCTGTTGATCTGCAGAGTGGCAGCTGGAGGCCTGCAGAGATACTATATGGTGCCTAAAATGGCACTATTCACCCATTTAAACAGTGAGAGGGTTAGAAAGCAGCAGTGCAGCCTCTTTGGGCTGTACCTGTATTAGCAGGTGGCCTGGAACAAGTAGGGCAGATCTGTAGCACAGAGGAGCTGGCGCAGAGGACCCAGCGTGTGCCCTCCATGTATTTCAGAGATTTATTTCAGACCAGCTCTAATCTGGTCACATTGACTGGTCTCGTGTTAGCGGCTGTAGCGCAGTAAGTGTGCTCCTACACCAGATCTTTTGGTTTGGGTTTGTCTGCATGGAGTCCAGTTCACAGATGCCAGGAGTCTTCCACGACATGAAGCAAAGCGTGGTGAGGAGGGGCGGTCAGGAGGAACACTTCAGAAGTGCATTCCTGATCCAAGCTGAAATGCTAATGTGGGTGTATTATGTAGATGTAATGTAGAAGCAACATGTATCTCTTGGAAAGGTTTCCTTGGAACCAAACCAGACTTTGGGTCCAGTTTCTTCAGTGTCCTGACTGAGGGCTAACGTGGAACATCCTACAGCTCCTTTTGGTCCCCGGTCCCAGGTCCTCTGCAGGGGGTAACCATGGGACGAGAAGAGGGAAGGGTGGATTTTGGTACATGCTTGGCCTCATCCTGCCGTAGCATGGGGTGTAGCCATGGTGCTCACCCAGTGTTCGGAGTAGTAAGTGCTGCTGTAAGCAACCACTTGTAAGCAAATACCAAACTTCAGCAGTGAAAGGTAAGGCTGGTGTTCAAACATTCCTCTCCCAAAGATAAAAGTTTGCAAGACCAAGACTAATTCCCCGAAGTCAGATGCTAGGAGGTGACACACAGGCTCTTTCAGAAGACATGAAATATCTATCTCCATTACAGATACAGTTTCATAGTCACGATTTTTACCATTATTTTCTGTACAGGTAACAAGCAACTTTATATACAAAGTGATGTTTTATCAAGTAGGAGTTCACTGTGCTTAGTGCCTGGAACTAACGCGTAATAGCTAGAGAGGCCAGTTCTTCACCAGATTTTCTTCACTGTTCCATATTTTATGTCTTTTCCCCATAACATTACCAGCTTCTAGAAATTTGCCTGAAAACGTGCATGCTCTCTCCGCTATCAATTCCTGACAGTTTCAGAGGCAGGAGAGTCAGGACACTCCATGGGACTTTGATGGAAGGAAAAAGGTCTCTCTTCAAGCCCAGGATAAGCAAAGGCCCCAAAGAGTTTTTATTTTTATTTTCCCTTTTTTTTTTTTTTTAAGGAATGAGTAATTGGTAGTTGTCTGTTAAAATTCATTAGCTTTTTCAGTCCCAGTTCCCCTATTTTCTTAATTTGAATATTTGAAGAAACACATAAGACTGAATTGTTGCTGCAGGGGGCCGCACTGACTTTGATCTTTTAAATGGAAAGCTATGTTCAATAAAATTAAATCAGCTTTTTTGTAAAGACAAAGATCATCACCCTCTGGCTTAATTTAACTAAACAGATGTAGGGTTTATGTAAATATGCAGTCATTGTAATGTGAAACAAAAGCTAGAATACCCTGCCATTAGGGTAAAAATGCATTCTGTGTTACCAGCTGGTCAGTCATGACCTTTTATTCAGCCATAGAGACAGTGCATGTCATGTATTCCAAAGCAGGGGAAATATGATGAAAAATGCCATGTCCACAAACTCATTGTTTATGAAAAGAGCCAGACAGATAAAGCCCCATTTTAAGCATGCGGCAGGTACAGAATGAGCTCCAGTGGGGTAATTTACTTTTTCTGCCGCTCTCCCTCTCCCTGGCACCAGCTTTACAGGTGAAAGGTTAGTGCAGTCTGCATATTTCCTTGGGCTTTCAGTTTTCTTTTGCGAAAGATGCTGTAATCAAGTGGGCACATCTTTTTTTGAGAGGACAGAAGACAGAACTTCTGCAGAGGATCTAGACCACCTCCCACAGCTGTAAGTCTCCTGGACCAGTGACTCTGAGGCTTTTGTGGGTGATACGGACACTCTTATACTGGACCATTTCCAAATAAGCCTTCCTTGACTCTAGTGGTATTAATCAGACTTGCACGAGGTTGGAGCGGTAAGTAATGATGCAC